AGAAGATGCGTGGGATCTTTAAATTACAGGGGTTCCCTCCAACCAACCGCCGTAATTTGCGCCTTTGCATGTTTAAATGATGTTTTGCACCCCCACATCTATCGCTGCGGAAGACTCGCCGTGTTTAGCCCCGCATGCCTCGGTCGGCATCATCAGAAGATTGTTTCCCCCGAAGGCAGAACAGCAAGGCAGGATCTGATCTTTTCCACCCACCATCACTCATAGTCCTGACAGGCCAGTGAATTCCCCACACCCCTCCCAGCCTGATGTTCAAAGCATCACATTTGCCACCAGAGAGGGGCCGTACTGGTGATCTTGGCGCCCATGGACAGAATTTTCCCTCAAGATGTTTTGGGACGGATGTCGCATGAAGTGGGACGACTTTATCTGCTTCTGTTTTAGGACTTGCTCAAGTGGTGAGATCTTATTGGTGATTCTCCACTCTCAGATAATGATTGTTAGTGTTGCATAGTTCAGCACATACTCTCTCCGGTGTTTAAATGACATCCCATAACTCCTGTCTATGGGAACTTCTCGTCAGACGTCGTAAAAAGTATTTGCAAGGCAGATTTTACAGTCTCCCGTTGCAACTGTAAACACATGGTGATGATTGTCGGACTTGGAGGGCAGGACTGGTCAGATCAGACAGTCAATGTTTGATGGATCTTATCAGAGTCTAGTTTAACTGGAAAACTTTCTCCTCTTCCCTTGTCTTAAGTAGAATGGTACTCACAGAGAGAGCATAACTCCTCCAAGGCCCAACAGCCCCCTTATGAAATCACTTGTAAATTCACTAGATCCTCATTTTATTTTGGTCTGCACCAAACCGCACACACTCATAAATATAAGTCCCTTCTAACATGACTGGAAACAGCAAAAATGCAAAAAGGGAGAAAAGTGTGAAAAACTTCCCGGATCTGCCTCCTGACAAATCTGCTTTGGCTCTTCCCTGACCCATGACATTGATTACGACTTATTTCCATCAGTGTGTTATCATGTGTGATCAGGATTTACTGTCTTTACCTTGTTGACAGTTAATAGGAAGTCACCCGTGTGATCTCGGTCTGTTGTTGCTTTATTGTTGATGCGTTGGCAGATCCTGAACTTAAATGATGACGTGTTTGTTTGTTTGTTTGTTTGTTTGTTTGTTCAAGTCTGGTTTTAAAAGTCAAGATTCAGGTCGGACCAAAAAGTAAATCCATCATAGAGTTGTTTACTGCGTGTACTGTATGACCCTTGTCTCAGATTGGCATAGGTCATGTGGTTTAGACCCCGATCATATACTGGGGAACATTGCTCACATTGCAGCAGGATCAGCTTAGATACATTATATATTGTCCAGTCGGTATAAATAGTATAAGTATGTCAGCTTACTAAACACTGCATAGGTCATTTCCCATCATGCATCTTTCATTAGAGCTTATATCACATGGTATCAAATGTTTGATCCCAATAACCCCCCCCCAACTTTCCTATTAATATACAGTAATACCAGCTGATTAGAAATCTCACTCAAAGGCCGTGAGGGAGCCGCCGATCGCCGCCACGCTGTCTCCTGCCTTCGATTGTGATGATCCAATTTTAACATCTGATAGTTTGATCAGTGCATGAAATCTAATTGTGAAACATCTTAATATATATTTAAATTAACAGCAGTGAGCTCATGCATCAAATATATATACAAGTATAATTGTTATAAATTAGTATAGTGAGTATAGTATTACCTCATTTGCCACTCGACCCGTACATCACTGGATTGTTGCAATAGTTTTCTGAAGCTGAGAATATATTAACAGGTTTTTCTTCTCGCTCAAAATGAAACGGGAAAAACAGAATAATATTCTCGTATCTGATGAGTCAATTGACCTTTATGCGAAAAACGAACATTATTCAGCCGGTTCTGAGCTGCACAATAGTCGTTACATTTGTGTAGTTCAGCCTTTCCCCAACAATTCCGAGTAAACGCCGACAGGAGGATTCACGTTGGGCTTTGACAGCCCGGTGCTGGTTAACCACCTGTCAGATTTGTGCCTTGAAAATCAACACAGCACGGGGGCTCCGAATTTCTTTCTCGCTCACAAACCTTTTTTTTTCCTCCCCTCCGTTCACAGCACTTAAATTATATTATTAGTTAGTTTTAGGCCCAGCAGGAGGGCGTCATACGACTGCTCCTTCTTTGAGCTTCCTTATTGTTTGCCCGGTTCCCCTCGCAGTGAGCTACCTCTCTCTCTCTTTGTGCCCTGTCTCTTTTGCCCACACAGGCCTGCAGAGGAAGAGCCCTCCAGCTAATTCAAGACTTGCCAGTGGAATTTCACTGAGACAAAGGGAGCTATTCATGGCAGCAGGATGGTGAAAAGGCCCTGCTGGCAGCAGTAATAGCATTGCTCGGAGGAGTTAGCAAAATGAAGAGACTTCACTTTGAAGCTCGTCCTCTTCCAAAGACGCTCGACCCTGAGCAATGCTGCTCCGTCGTCACGGCCCCCTCCCGTCGCCTCGGGTTTGTCCTTATGTTTCCAGTGTAGGTGGATAGATGGGAGTCGGCCCCTGTCACAGACTGTCAGCACAGGGGCTAAATACTTGACCCTCCAATCTTGGAGCGTGTTGTCCTCAGTCAGTGGATCTGGTGCCTTTGTGGCACATGTGACCTTCAACGCACTTTTTCATTTCAGTCATACCCTGCACAGTTGTTCGCAGCCCAGATTTCCCTTGTTTCCACTCAGTGTCTGACCTTTGGCCTCATCAATTAGCTGAATAAGTCGAGTTTAGAGCATCTTGCTCTTCCTTGCCATTCGCCCACCCATCCTACCATCCTCTCGCCAGTATTTCTACAGGGAAACATGTTCTTGATATTCAGGAAGAGGGGGAGTCCCCTTCACATATAAACACATGTAAACACAAAGGATACTCGTGGTGTCTTAACTGAGCCTCCAACTTCTCCGTAAAGAACTCTGACCGTCAGATACAGTTTCATACTGAATCAAAACATTTCTTCTTATGATAATGTTAGCGATGTCTGCCCTCGCTCTGTTTCTGCATTGTAAAGCTGCGTGCAGTGCCATTTCCAACATGCTCGCTTGTACACTGGCACGATTAAGGTATCGTCGGTGCAAGCTGTCGAACTTTATAGTTTCAGCTGCAGTTGCGTACAAGTGGCCCTGCCACAGAATTCTAACCACAACGTGTGGAAGTCGTCAGCTGGAGTTTGCCCAGTTGACAGCTCCTGAAGACGCTTATTGTGTGACCCGGAGTTCACCTTTTGTTCATGAACTTTTGAAATGGAAACAGAATTTTCAAATTTCCCAAAGCTGTTAACTGCGTCATTTGGACTTCCTGAGCAAGGAAGGTCTGTCTTTGAATAAGTGAGCAATTAGGTAACTGAAATGAAAAAGACGGTCATCATGGTGATGCACAATCATATTAAAGTCCAAGGTTTCTATAAATCAGCCTCGCTCTGCGATTTTGCAGCAGTGAAATGACCTAATACAGTCCCAGATGTTAAAATGATTGGTTTATTTTATCTCACTGCATAAATCAGCAAATGGACCAACGCTGTTATTCTCACATAGGGTACATTTCCAAATATCAGCCTTTACTTGAGCACATACACATTGTTAGAAATCACATGTGGCCACATCTAGAAAAACAGACGAGTGTCTGCACGTGCACGTGGTCCAGCGGACCTGTGAAGACATTAACGGCTTCCTCTTTCCTCTCCCGGCTCCAAAACACTTCACTTTAGTTGCTTTTCTTTCCTTCCTCTTTTTCTGACTCTCTCACATTTTCTGGATATTGTCTCATTAAATCTCCCTCTCCCTCTCTCTCTCTCTCTCTCTCTCTCCCTCTCCCGTTTCTGTTGTGTGTTGAGCAGCTGTCTGTTGTGGTCAGCGTGCCCACCAGTGCTCCCGGGCTCTGCCGTCTGTGTGGACTTTTTTAAGGAGAGACAAAAACCATAATGAATTGTAGCACGGGCAAATTGCTTACGAAAGCGGAGATTTTGTCATTAGCGTGCCGTTTGCTAATTTATTCATTCGGGAGCTGTACTCTTTACACAGATGGAGATGTCAACCTAGAATAACAACGATATTCATGTGATTTCCACGGCAGAATTTATATGTAATCTCCTGCAAGACTCCACTCCCTGCTGCATTCTTCATATGTGAAAGGGTCAAAGTCCGGAGAAAGTCCAGACCCTGCCACCGGCCGCTGTTATATACCAAGTTTCTAAAATATTCCTATTTGTGTGAGAAATTGAATTGGATTATACTGGAATGGCTAAAGAAAGTACTTCATAATAATATTTCTTCATTTATGTTGAAATTTGCCAATTTAGCACAGAAGCATTAGCTTCTAATGTGAGTTGGTGGGTTGGTAAACGTGAAACAAGCATGTGTAAGCGTGCATGCTAATGCGTTAAGGTCTCTGACATTAGAACGAGTATAGCGAGCCGTGTCCCTGCACCGATCATTACATGACTGTGACAGAGGCCCACAGATAAATGTTTGGCCTTCATGTGTGTCTGTGAGGTAAACAAACCAAGGCTCCTGAGGACAAAGCCATACTTTCACATGAAGAGGGAGGTGGAGAGAGAGAGAGAAGCGAGGGAAGAAAAGGACGGAGAGGAGATATGAATAGAACGGCAGAGGGGAAAATGTAAAACGGAGGAAAGGGTGACAAGTAATGAACAGTTAATCGAGGAAGGAACAAAAGCAAGGTCTTCAAAGTAGGTGAAAGTAAAGCGAGGATGAGAGAGAGCAGAGTTGAAAGTGAAGAAAGTCAACAGAAGCGAGGCCGAGGGAGAAAACGAGGAGAAGAAAAGCACGAGGACTGAGGGCAGAGGGGGTTTCAGTGGGAGGATGGGCGGGTGTCCTCGCTGGCCTTTGTACTGTATGGCCTTGTTTGTTTTCTATATGCTATTTCCCTCCCTTTCCTCCTCCCCTTGCCTTCCACCCTCTGTCTCGGCTGCTCACCCACCCTAACAATCCTCTTTTTATTTCTTACAGGGCGGAGACGAGGCGGACCACACAACACAGGAGGCCTGGGGAAATCATTAACCACACACAAACACATTCAATATGACTGGTAGGTTATGTTCTGCCCGTCTGCCCGTGTGTTTAGTACATTATGTTTATTATGTGTGCCTACATGGCACAGACCCAGCGAGCGGCTGGTTTGGAGTGGCTGTTGTTTGTGTAATGATTCATCATCCTTATCTCGTGTGATGTCTCCGTCCCCTAATTGTGCACAGCGATCTGTCACATGTGCAGCGCGCTCATGTGCTCGTTCTTGCTGCATGGGGCCCATGCTCCTCCTGCAATTACCGCTCTGTAGTTCATAACCAGGAAGTGCGAGCGACTCCCACTGAGGAGTCTCTGGAGGTACTACAAGGGTGTAATTTCAAATGGGAACGGGGGAGTGTTGCCCATTTTTTTTACCGAAATCCTGTTTTGAAAACGTTTAACTCGTTTAACCCTATTTACACCGTGAAAAACCCTAAGAACACAGTTTGACTGCAGTCCAGCTGTCACATTCTAATTTGAGGCGCTCGACTTCATAAAAATATTGGCATGCTTTGCTAATCTGGGTCACGCTGAGTTACTACCTTGTGTTCACAGCAAAGTTAAGCTTTGTGAGTGAGCGCGGTCGCTTAGTTGACCTTTTTTTTTTTTTTTGCCCTCTGCTCTGCCTGTCAGGCTTAATTCAGTATTTTTGTGTAAGTTTGTTTACTTTCCAACATTTCGTTGAGCATTTCATGTCGATAAAAGTAGAGAGATGACAGGAAATGAGAGGAAATGACAATAACAGCCTGTGGCCAGACTTGGATCAGCTTGAATCAGCGCCTCAAAGCAGCCATAGAGCTAGCGAGCGAGTTTCAGCTCTTTTAAACTTTCCGGTTTTGGTTCAGTCTCGATGCTTGTAGTGATTTTGGCAGCAGGTTTGTTTTCAGTAAAAAAAACAAAAAAACGACTGTTCGTCACTTGTTTCAGAAAGCAGAAGGCACAGAAACGGCATAGTTCAGCATTTAGCAGCTAAAAGCAGAACTTCTATTTTAAGTATTGGACCTAAATTCACCAGGTGTCCAGAAATATGACCCCAAAATGGAAGACATGAAAGCAAACACATTTAAATAGTCACATACATCTGGATCATTCAGTCCTCGCTGAATGTCACCTGGTCATAGACGACAGCACTCCACTTGTGCCTGGTTGTTTTCTCTGCATCATTTCTTGAGAAAACCACAAACATTTGATCTGTTAATGTTAATGAAAGTAAAAAAAAAAAAAAAAAAGATCCTGGATCTGCCTCGTTTATCGTGTTATCTCGAAAAACAGGTTCCTCCTTGGGCCACACCCCCGCCTTCGTACCAAGTTTGAATAAAATTGGTGCGGCAGTTTTTGCATCATCAAACAAACAGACAAAGGCCGCCTTCTCCTTGGCGGAGGTGATGAAAGTTAACGTTGCTCCGTAACTGGCGGATATGTAAAGAAGCAGTTGTTCGATGGTTGTTTGCCGTGTCAACTGAAAAGAGGATGATATGTCACAACTTGTTCCAGAGGCTTTTGGTTTGGTTAGAAATGCAAACACAGCTAATCACCACTAATGCATGTTAGGAAAACTCTTTTGTTTGACTCACAGGATGGATTTTGATATTTATTTTAATATATAATGTGTTGTTTATGAGGTTAATGTTAATGTATGTAAATTAAATGTATGTCTGGTCAATCCCCTCAGACTTCAGGCCCGTCTCAAACCAAACCCTCGTGCTGTACATGTCTATTTCCCTCCCTCCCACTGCAGCTGCATGTAAACCGGCTGCACAGCAGGAGACACAGCAGGAATGTTAAGCAGAGTAATTGATCACTGTGAGTTTTTGATTTGTCAGAGGGATGAGAGGTCGGAGCTTGTTTTTTAAAACGCGAACCTCTGATTTATTTGACAGTTGTTTTGACCATGGTCTCTGTCAGATACTGTAATTACTTTACCTCTAATGAGCGCGTTCCTTATTCATCTCAGTCAACTCAGCGGCTCAGCACATAACAAAGTGAACACAGTGCATTCAAGTTTTCATTATTCAGAAACACTGCTCGACGTGATCAGAATTCCAGAGGGAAGTTACGTGTTTTATTTTGTAATTTATTCAAGGTAAGTTCCAACTTTGTGTTTAATCTTGTGGCAGTTGCTTATTCATTTAGTGCCGATGAAGCCACATGCCTGCAGCATGTAGTCAACACGAGGCCTTCGGGGCCTCTCGTTTGTTATGATATACTGTGAGGTTTAATGTTTATTAATGACAAAACTGGTTAAGTAAGAGGTTTTTCTCCGCGGAAATTCTGAAAGGCAGGAAATTGAAATAACCATGGAATGAAGTAGCCATATGTCGATTGAATTTAAAGATTTTATTTCCAAGGCTCTCCACAAAATATGTAAAACAATCCTCTCCTCTCTCCTCTCTCCTTTCTCCTCTCTCCTCCCCTCACACAGCTGGAGAGACTGGGGAAGTGCATAATTGAGGTTTAATCCTGCTCTAAGTCCCTGCAGCATTAGGGAAACAGCAGAGGCAGATAATGCATAGCAGCTCGGGCTGAGTGAGAGGGAATAACCCCCAGAGTTGTTTGGACAGATGTTTGTCGAGAAAGGCTTTAATGGTACGGAGCTCGGAGCCGACCAAAGGGGACTGGTGTCAGTCACAGGCGGCGCTGCGTGTGGGAATTGGACGCAGGTGATGTTAAACCGATCCTGCGTAAATGCTGCAGTCACCACGAGAGCTCGATCCACTTTGCTGGAGCGCTGAGGGAAGTGATCTCCCCATCGATCCACGTATCAACACCGCTCATCCTTTACGTGAGAGACGAGGTGTCGTTCTCAGTCGCTGCTCGTAAAACGCGTGTTGCCATGGCGATCAAAGCAACATCAGGTTTGTGTTTGCTCGAGCAGATTGGGGAATGTGCGTAGTGAAAACGTGCATTTTGTCGGACCATTATCAAGGCAGTGTTTATAAGAAGAATCGCCAAACCTCCGCCAAGGCCCGACGGTCAGGTTAAATTGAAACAAGGCTCAAAGCTACGGCCACGTTATGTTTCTTAGCGACACTCTGGTGGTAGTTAAAGGTTTTTAATCTTTAATTGAAAAAGCCTTTACCCCTGTGAACACACGTTCAAATCCAACAGATCAATTTCTTACTTGCACGAAAACGCACACACCCCTCGATACCAACCCTGTTAATCCGGACCTGCACCAGAATTCAGACCCGTGTCACATCCTTCCATCAGGTTTCATGTTAATCCGTCCTGTAGTTGTTTGTTTTAATTCTGCTGACAGTCAAAACAGCGGAGATGAAAACACTGGCAGGGGTCAAAATGCAGCACAGGTTTTTGTGATTTCACAGCAGACGAATCTGCTTCATGAAGTAAACACTCAACGTTATTCTGGGTGATTACTCTGCACGCCATGCAAAGCAACAGTGCTAAAACAAAAGTTACAGTGAAAGCAATTGAGCCGCAATTTTCTCATCCTCCCATAACTGTGAGAACAGTGGAACAGTGTTCGGCTGCTCTCCAAAATGTCTGTTTACATCTCACTGTCCACAATCAGCTGACTGAGTCACTGCAGTGAGTAGGTTCTTCTCTCTCTCTCTCTCTTTCTCTCTCTCTGTGTTTCTCTCCGTCTCTGACTCATTATTTTCCTCTTGACAGTTAAAAGTTTTCTCTCTTTTTGTGCTCATCATCTGGAACAGCTGTAATTCTTGGCCGTTTGACAGATTCTCTCCTTGTTTTTCACAGTCGGACTGGCCATCGCGACAAATCCCAGCGGGCTCCTGTATTTGTGAGCCGGTGGACTGTAAAGAAAGAAAAAATCCATAAAGTTCTTTCCGACCCCGTCAGTCGCTTTGCTGACCCTCTCTGTGCGCCCGTCCTCCTGCAATAGAGCAAACAGGAACCTTCAAACTCATTTTACATGAGCCTGAAGTTCTCCTGCAGGTTAAAGAAAACTCTTTGAAGGCTGATTAACACGGAAACACTCCTCAGATGAGCAACATTAAAAAGATTATTTTGAGCTGGTAACTAAATGTTAGTGAAAACGTAGAGACACATGTTTGGGACATGTCTATGTCCTGAGATTTAATTTATATATATGAAAAAGTTAAGTCTAATCAAAGGTGGGTGGCTCTTCCGCCACTTGCGACAGCTTGTGAGTGTGAATCTGGAAAGCTGCGCTCGTTTTCAAATCTATGCTGAAACTAAAAACCCGAAACTACCAATTCACTCATAGACGTCCCCCATCCTGTCCTGTCCCTCTATGTCCTCAGACATGTCTGCTTCACACACACACACACACACACACACACTTTTGAAACTGAGATGTCGTATGAAGCAGAGGCCTCTCGTCTGTGTCGGCGTTTCAAACGGCTCAGGGCGGCCGCGGTCTTGGTCGTCAGGAAACCTCTAATGCATGTGACACGAACGTGTGTGTGCTGCTGCTGGAGTCGTCACTCATAGCTGGACAACCCGGATAACTTAGCCGCAGCACGCTAATTACAGTGTGTGTGTGTGTGACAACGAGAGAGACGAGGGGGGTGGGGGTGGGGGGGTTTCCAGACACTTCGGCCAAAACTTAACGGTGAAGTTTCACTTTAAGGCTACAACAACCCACAATGCAACGCTCTGTGAAAGACCTTAAAAGTGAGTCTGTCCATTCAGGAAGAACATCTGCTGTAATAAATTAACATATAATTGTACAGTTGTGAAATATAACACAACCCCCATTTTAAAATGTGTCAGACAAAAAAAGTTTTATATTGAGGCCAAAACATCCCCCCCCCACCCCCCACCCCCCCACTGGACGTTATCGCCGTGCTCCCCGGTTGGACGGAGGCCAGGACGTGAGCGCTTTCGTCAGCGGGGAAAGAAAAATTGGTGGAGTCAGTGGAACTGAGGGTAGCTGGGATATTATAGAAGGTGTGTTTATCCCCCAGGAAGTGAGTCTTTCAACGCGGGGATGGGGTGTGTGCAGACGTTAGGCTCACACTGAAAGGTTCAAGGGTTGATGTGCATGTGTGTGTGTCGGTGTGTATGTGTGTGTGT